GATTTTAAAGTGCTCCAAATTTTAAGGTTTAAGTATTCGTATAAATACGGCCATCCGAGTAGCCTCATTAAAAAGGTCCAATAAGGCCAAGTCGGATGAATGAAATCCCCTCTACGGGAAATTACTTATATGTCTGATAATCCTCTGTTGCAATGAACGGTATCCATGACACTGCGAATGATCATATGCCTTCAGTTGTTTTGTGACCTGAGCTTTGTATGAATGGAGGTGTACATATATCCAAATGCAAAACATACTATTCTGAGCCATGAGACAGTACCACGCTCATAAAACGACACGCAATCGACAAATTTGTTTCTTCGGCCACACTTAGTTTTGAAATCCTAACCAAGCATTTCTGGTGTTGTAGTTTTCAGCGCCCACGCAGATATAAAAATTATAGCGTAATGGAGCGCTGATTGCCTGGAAAGCTTCTTGTCTTCAGATATATGTACAAACATATGTATGTATACTTCAGCACATAAAATAAGTTTGGTAATTTTTTGTCGAATTTGGTAACTTTTTCTGGTGATTTTGGTAAAAAATAAAAAAATCTTGTGGCAACACTGGTTGTTGGTAGTTTGAAACTTAGCGTCGGTACACTTGTTGATGTCGCGAGACGCCTTGATTAAATTAGCAAGAGAGGAGAACGCCGACAGCAACTCATCAAAGCGGAATTTACTTTGCAGGGAGCGAACTTCAGCTTCAAGTGATTCTGTCTGTTTGACGAGTGACAAATTGTCTTCACGCAGAGAATTGACTGCAGCAACCATGCGAGTATTTTCTTCTTTAAGAGCGGTGATTTCGTTTAGTGCTGCCTCTAAAGCAATTGATTGCTTAGATGTGTGTTGCTTGACCAACTTGATTAGCTCACTTTGCTCTATATTATTAGCATTACACTCATCCGTGTTGTTGGGTGGTGGAGGCAAACGAAGAGAATGACGCCGGTCGGCAACACACCGATTACAGTGAAATTGCTTACCCGTTTTTAGCAAAAACTCAAGATCAGCTGGCAGAAGGTTAACACAGCTTAGGTGAAAAAGCTCATTGCACTCATTGCACTGCACTTTATCTTGTGCACGCTCTACCTTATTTGCACATACACACGGCATTGTTAGTACAAAAATAGCAGGCAAAAATATTAAATATTATAGCCCGAACACAATGAAAACGACGAGCTACAAACCACAGCTGTCAAATTATTTTAACACGTACTCTTATGTAGATAATTATTTTGGCGACGACCGGGCTACGCGACGGCTGTGGTTGTGGCCAGATTAGATCTATTTCTATTTTTCTGGCGACAGATAAGGTTCTTCCTCTTCTTTTATGTCAAACTCATACAAATTCATGACGTCGCTGCCGCGTTCAAAGAAATCATGTCGCCATCGACAAAGCGTTTAGATAATGAAGATAACAAATTGGAAGCTGTGGTCTGTAGCTCGTCGTTTTCAATGTGTTCAGAACTTTACGAATTAGAGTCACTTACTACGTTTATACGCATGCATAAGTCGCTTTAATTCATTTCGCCGCGATTCAAAACATATGTATAAACTGAATTTCAATTCGCTTTGAAAGAGCGAAGTGTTTTGGTTCACACTCCATTTCAAATCGGTAGTTTATTTTTCCAGACAGTTAGAAAGAGTGTATAAACACCGCTCTCACTCAAAGCGAATTGAAGGTTAGGCGTTTCCGCTCAAATTCCAAATAATCGCATCAGTATTTAAAAGCTGATTAATAATAATCGTTCTTTTTCTTTGCCACGATTTTATAATGCCGAATAAAACTAGATTTTTATCACTTTCCATTATGTTAACTTATAAAATGTCGAATGAAAACAGCTGA